AGGTGACAGAGTGACCTGGAGGCCACCAAGGGGGACACGGAGGTTACAGAGTCACCTGGAGGCCACCGAGGGGGACAGGGAGGTGACAGAGTGACCTGGAGGCCACCGAGGGGGACACGGAGGTGACAGAGTCACCTGGAGGTCACCGAGGGGGACACGGAGGTGACAGAGTCACCTGGAGGCCACCGAGGGGGACAGGCCGAGGGGGACACGGAGGGGACAGAGTCACCTGGAGGCCACCGAGGGGGACACAGAGGTGACAGAGTCACCTGGGACCCCTCCAGGGGGACAGGGAGGTGACAGAGTGACCTGGAGGCCACTGAGGAGGACAGGAAGGTGACAGAGTCACCTGGAGGCCACCGAGGGGGACACGGAGGTGACAGGGTCACCTGGAGGCCACCGAGGGGGACAGGGAGGTGACAGAGTCACCTGGGACCCCTCCAGGGGGACACGGATGTGACAAGGTGACACCTCCGAGCGGGGGAGACCCCACAGAGACACCTGGAGCGGGGGGGGGGGACACGGGGACAGCTCCAGGGGACAGAAATGACAAAGGGACCTTCTCGGGGGGGAGGGGACGGGGACACGGCGGTGGCTTCTCCAAAGGGGCGGAGATGGCACCGGGACCCTCCTGGGGACCTTCGGCGGGGGGCTGGGGACACCTCGGGTGTCACAGGTGCCACCAGGGCAGGGCTGGGACATCTCCAAAGCCACGGAGATGTGGCAGGAGCCACCTGGGCGGGGGACAGACACCTGGGAGGTGACAGGGACACCAGGACAGGCTCCTGGGGACAGGGAGAGCTCCAGGGGGACAGAGGTCTCCAAGGACACCTGTGAGGTGACAGGGACACCATGACAGGCTCCTTGGGGACAGGACAGCTCCAGAGGGACAAAAGTCCTGGAGGGACACCTTGAAGGTGACACTGAACCTTCTCTGGCAGGGGAAGGGGACAGGGACATCTCCAGAGGGACAGAGGTCTCCATGGACACCTCTGAGGTGACAGGGACACCATGACAGGCTCCTTGGGGACAGGGACAGCTCCAGGGGGACAAAAGTCCTGGAGGGACACCTTGAAGGTGACACTGAACCTTCTCTGGCAGGGGAAGGGGACAGGGACATCTCCAGAGGGACAGAGGTCCCTGTGGACACCTGGGAGGTGACAAGGACACCAGGACAGGCTCCTGGGGACAGGGACATCTCTAAAGGGACAAAGACCCTGGAGGGACACCTCTGAGGTGACAGGGACACCACGAGAGGTTCCTGGGGACAGGGACATCTCCAGGGGGACAGAGGTCTCCAAGGACACCTGTGAGGTGACAGGGACACCACGAGGGGCTCCTGGGGACAGGGACATCCCCGCCAGGTGACAGCAGCGGAGCGAACCCCTCCGAACAACCACAGCAACTCGGGACCCTCAGCCCGGCCACCTCCTCCAGGCGCCAAAACCCCCTCCCCAAAAAAACAAAAAAAAAACCCAAAAACCCCTCCCGACCTCTCCCCCCAAAAAAACCCCACCACAGCCTGGGGGGGAGGGGGAAAAACCCCCAAAAATCAAATCGGGGAGGGCAAAACCCAACCCAAAATTAAATCGGGGAGGGGGAAAACCTCCAAAAATCAAATCGGGGAGGGGGAAAACCCCCAAAAATCAAATCGGGGAGGGCCAAACTCGACCCAAAATTTAAATCGGGGAGGGCGAAACCCAACCCAAAATTAAATCGGGGAGGGCAAAACCCAACCCAAAATTTAAATCGAGGAGGGCAAACCCAACCCAAAATTAAAATCGGGGAGGGCAAAACCCAACCCAAAATTTAAATCGGGGAGGGGGAAAACCCCCAAAAATCAAATCGGGGAGGGCAAAACCCAACCCAAAAATCAAATCGGGGAGGGCAAAACCCAACCCAAAAATCAAATCGGGGAGGGCAAAACCCAACCCAAAATTAAATCGGGGAGGGGGAAAACCTCCAAAAATCAAATCGGGGAGGGGGAAAACCCCCAAAAATCAAATCGGGGAGGGCCAAACTCGACCCAAAATTTAAATCGGGGAGGGCGAAACCCAACCCAAAATTAAATCGGGGAGGGCAAAACCCAACCCAAAATTTAAATCGAGGAGGGCAAACCCAACCCAAAATTAAAATCGGGGAGGGCAAAACCCAACCCAAAATTTAAATCGGGGAGGGGGAAAACCCCCAAAAATCAAATCGGGGAGGGCAAAACCCAACCCAAAAATCAAATCGGGGAGGGCAAAACCCAACCCAAAAATCAAATCGGGGAGGGCAAAACCCAACCCAAAATTAAATCGGGGAGGGGGAAAACCTCCAAAAATCAAATCGGGGAGGGGGAAAACCCCCAAAAATCAAATCTTTGGGGGGGCTGGGGGGCATTTGGGGAGGGGGCCACACTGCGGGGGGGGGTCAGGACCCCCCGTTCACAACGCGAGGAGCGAGGGAGAGTTCAAGGAGTCCGAGGACTGGTCGCTGCTGCTGCTCCGCTGGTGCGAGGCTCCACACGTGGCTCCCTCTGGGTGGGTGAACACAAACGCGGGGGTCGCGTTAGGGGGTCCGGGCGGGGGGCAGCAGCCGGGGAAAGGGCCCTGGAACGGCGCCGGGGGCAGCAGAGCCACGGTGCCCGCCTTGCCCGGGCTGCTCACCTCGGCGGGGAGGGCGGTGGCAGCGGTGGCGGCGGTGGCGATGTCGTCGAAGGGGACCTTGCAGGCGGGCGCGTGCGCCACCAGCACGAACTCCAGGCGCTCCTTCTCCTTGCGCAGCTCGGCGATCTCCGACTCCAGCTCCGCCTTCTCCTCCTCCAGCTGGTCCGTCTCCTGCGGGGGCCGCGCCGTCAGGGGGCACGCGGTGGCGCCCGGGGGTCACCGAGTGTCCCCCGGGTGTCACCGAGTGTCACCGAGTGTCACCGAGTGTCCCCCGAGTGTCCCCAAGGTGGTTGTGGCACTGCCGTGTCTGTCCAGTTCCCTGTCTGTCCATCCCCGGGTGTCATCAAGTGTCACCGAGTGTCCCCCGGGGGTCTCCGAGTGTCCCCCGAGTGTCACCGAGTGTCACCGAGTATCCCCCGGGTGTCATCGAGTGTCACCGAGTGTCCACTGAGTGTCACCGAGTGTCCCCCGGGTGTCCCCGAGTGTCACCAAGTGTCCCCCGAGTGTCACCGGGGGTCACCGAGTGTCCCCCGGGTGTCATCGAGTGTCACCGAGTGTCACCCGGGTGTCCCCCGGGTGTCACCGAGTGTCACCGAGTGTCACTGAGTGTCACTAAGTGTCCCCCGGGTGTCCCCGAGGTGGCTGTGGCACTGCTGTGTCTGTCTGGTTCCCTGTCTGTCTGTCTCTGGGTGTCCCTGAGTGTCCCCCGAGTGTCCCCCGGGTGTCCCCAAGGTGGTTGTGGCACTGCTGTGTCTGTCCAGTTCCCTGTCTGTCCATCCCCGGGTGTCATCGAGTGTCACCAAGTGTCCCCCAAATGTCACCGGGGGTCACCGAGTGTCCCCCGAGTGTCCCCGAGTGTCACCTGGATGTCCCCGAGGTGGCTGTGGCACTGCCGTGTTCTTGTGGCTCCCTGTCTGTCTGTTCCTGGGTGTCCCCAAGTGTCCCCCGAGTGTCCCTGAGTGTCCCCCGAGTGTCCCCAAGGTGGTTGTGGCACTGCCATGTCTGTCCAGTTCCCTGTCTGTCCATCCCCGAGTGTCCCCGGGGTGGCTGTGACACTCCCGTGTTCATGTGGCTCTCTGTCTGTCTGTCCCCGAGTGTCCCCCGGGTGTCCCCGAGGTGGTTGTGGCACTCCTGTGTCTGTCTGGCTCCTTGTCTGTCTGTCCCCGGGTGTCCCCGAGTGTCCCCGAGTGTCCCCTGGGTGTCACCCGAGTGTCACCCGAGTGTCACCGAGGTGGTTGTGGCACTGCCATGTTCGTGTGGTTCTCTGTCTGTCTGTCCCCGAGTGTCCCCTGGGTGTCACCCGAGTGTCCCCCGAGTGTCACCGAGGTGGTTGTGGCACTGCCATGTTCGTGTGGTTCTCTGTCTGTCTGTCCCCGAGTGTCCCCAAGGTGTCCCTAGGTGTCTCCAAGTGTCCCAAAGGTGGTTTTGGCACTGCCGTGTCTGTCTGTCTCTGTCTGTCCGTCCCTGGGTGTCCCCGAGTGTCCCTGCAGCGTCCCCAAGGTGGTTGTGGCACTGCCGTGTCTGTCTGTCTCTGTCTGTCCGTCCCTGGGTGTCCCCGAGTGTCCCTGCAGCGTCCCCAAGGTGGTTGTGGCACTGCCGTGTCCGTCTGGCTCCCTGTCTGTCTGTCCCCGAGTGTCCTCTGGGTGTCCCCAAGCCCGGGGACATCCCGCAGGCTCCTCCAGCGTCCCTAAGTGTCCGTCTGTCCCCTCTCCTGTCCCCACGGATGGCGCTGTCCTCGTCCTGTCCCCTCCGATGTCCCCAAGCTTGGGGACATCCCTGAGTGTCCGTCTGTCCCCTCCCCTGTCCCCACGGGTGGCATTGTCCTCCTCCTCCGTCCCCAAGGTGTCCCTAAGTGTCTCCAAGTGTCCTCAAGGTGGTTGTGGCACTGCCGTGTTCTTGTGGCTCCCTGTCTGTCTGTCCGTCCCTGGGTGTCCCCGAGTGTCCCCGAGTGTCCCCAAGGTGGCTGTGGCACTGCCGTGTCCGTCTGGCTCCCTGTCTGTCTGTCCCCGAGTGTCCTCTGGGTGTCCCCAAGCCCGGGGACATCCCGCAGGCTCCTCCAGCGTCCCTAAGTGTCCGTCTGTCCCCTCTCCTGTCCCCACGGATGGCGCTGTCCTCGTCCTGTCCCCTCCGATGTCCCCAAGCTTGGGGACATCCCTGAGTGTCCGTCTGTCCCCTCCCCTGTCCCCACGGGTGGCATTGTCCTCCTCCTCCTCCTGTGGCACCCCTGGGTGTCCCCTCCGATGTCCCCAAGCCTGGGGACATCTCTGTCTGTCCGTCTGTCCCCTCTGTTGTCCCCTGTCCCCAGGGATGGCGCTGTCCTCCTCCTGCAGGATCACCTGTCCCTTCTGCTGTCCCCAAGCTTGGGGACATCCCTGAGTGTCCGGCTGTCCCCACGGGTGGCGCTGTCCTCGTCCTGTCCCCTCTGCTGTCCCCAAGCCTGGGGACATCTCTGTCTGTCCATCTGTCCCCACTCTCAGGGGTGCCCCTGTCCCCTCTGGTGTCCCCAAGGATGTCATTGTCCCTTACAGGCCTGGGGACACCATCTTCCTCCTCCTCTTCTTCCTCCTCCTCTTCTTCCTCCCCCTCCTCCCCAGCAGCCAAGGGGACACCGCTGTCCCCTCCCGATGTCCCCAGCTCTGTCACCTGTCCCCACCTGGGGACATCGCTGTCCCCTCCTGATGTCCCCAACTCCCAGGACACCGCCACAACCTGGGGACACCGCTGTCCCCTCCTGATGTCCCCAACTCCCTGTCATTTGTCCCCTCCCAATGTCCCCAACTCCCAGGACACTGCCACCATCACTGGGGACACCGCTGTCCCCATCTCCCTCCGCGGCCACCTCCGCTTGCTCCCCCCTCGTCCCGCGGTCCTTGGGGACAATGCCACCGCCGGGGGACAATGCCACCCCTGGAGAACGATGCCACCCCTGGGGACAATGCCACCAGCCAGGGACGATGCCACCCCTGGGGACAATGCCGCACGCCAGGGACAATGCCACCCCTGGGGACGGTGCCACCCCCGGGGACAATGCCACCCCTGGGGACAATGCCACCCCTGGGGACAATGCCACCCCTGGGGACAATGCCACCCCCGGGGACGGTGCCACCGCCGGTGTCGCGGTGTCACTCACCGCCTGCAGCCGGTCCGTCAGCTCGCGCCGCCGGTTGCGACATTTGGCCGCCGCCAGCTTGTTCCGCTCCCGCCGCACGCGGCGCTTCTCCTCCTCCTCGGGCGTCAGCTGCGGGGACAAGGGACACCCGCGTCACCCGCTGCCACCGCCTGCCACCCCCCGACAGCCCCCGGCCCCAAAACCCCGCTGCCTGCGTCCCCAAATGCCACCGCGCTGCCGGCGGCGGGTGAGGTCACCGAGAGTGGTGTCCCCAAGGTGCCACCACCTGGGGTGACCCTCAGGCTCTTGTCACTCATGATGTCCCCAGATTCCTGCCGTGTCCCCAAGGTGTCACCACCTGGGGTGGCCCTCAAGCTGTCACCGTTCATGGTGTTCTCTGTCCCCCCCGTTGTCACCCTTGTCCCCCTGTCCCCCCGTGTCCCCTCTGTCCCCCCGTGTCCCCTCTCACCGTCTCCTCCCGGCCGCGCCGGGGCCGTGCCCGGGGGGCTCTGCCGGGGGTCGCCGCCGGGGGTCCCGCGAAGCCCCCGCCCATGGCGGGGGGGGTGGAGTAGCTGGGCCCGGGGAGGTCGTAGGGGTCCAGGGCGGGGGGAGGGGGCTGCGCCATGGGCGCCCCCGGCGCCACCGAGGAGATGAGGGTGGGCTGCACCAGCCACTGCAGGTCCTGGCTGGTGGTGATGGCCGTCACCGTGGGCACGAAGGAGCCGGGCATGTCCCCCAGGCCGCCGCACTCCTGGGGACACGGGGGGACACGGGTCAGAGACGTGACAGCAATGGGGACAAGGGGGGACACGGGTCAGGGGACACGGGTCCCCTCCTGGGACCCGCGGGTGACACCCGGGGTCCTTGTCGAGTGTGACACCGCGCTGTGTCCCCCAGGCCGCCGCACTCCTGGGGACACGGGGGGACACGGGTCAGAGACGTGACAGCAATGGGGACAAGGGGGGACACGGGTCAGGGGACACGGGTGACACAGCTGGGGACACCCCTGTCACCTCCCCCGGGTCACGAGTGTGACACCGCGCTGTGTCCCCCAGGGCACCGCACTCCTGGGGACACGGGGGGACACGGGTCAGAGAGGTGACAGCGATGGGGACACGGGACACGGGTCAGGGGACACGGGTGACACCGCTGGGGACACCCCTGTCACCTCCCCGGGTCACGAGTGTGACACCGATGGGGACACGGGGACACGGGGACACTGGTCAGAGAGGTGACACCAATGGGGACAAGGGGGGACACAGCTGGGGACACCCCTGTCCCCTCCTGGCTCCCTGTCACCCATGGTGACACTCTCCTGTCCCTGTCACAAGAAGTGACACCCTCGTGTCGCTGTCACCCCCTAGTGACACCCTGGTGTCGCTGTCACCCAGCGGAGACACCTGGCTCTCTGTCCCTCAAAGGTGACACTCTCCTGTCCCTGTCACCCGCGGGTGACACCCGGGGTCCTTGTCACAACGGGTGACACTCTCAGGTCCTTGTCACCCCCCAGTGACACTCTCAGGTCCCTGTCACAACAAGTGACACCCTGGTGTCCCTGTCACCCCCAAGTGACACTCTCCTGTCCCTGCCACCCACAGGTGACACTCTCCTGTCCCTGCCACCCCCAGTGACACCCGGGGTCCTTGTCACAACGGGTGACACTCTCCTGTCCCTGTCACAACGGGTGACACCCTGGTGTCCCTGTCACCCCCAAGTGACACTCTCCTGTCCCTGCCACCCCCAGTGACACCCGGGGTCCTTGTTCCCGGTTCGCGTCCTCCCCCCCCCGGTTCCGCCGGGTCCCCGCGCCCCCCGCTCTCACCTGAGCGGCCCCGGCGGCGGCCCCGGGGCTCCCGAAGGAGTCGAGCGGCGACAGGTACTGCGACTCGGCCGAGGGCGACGAGCTGCACCGGGAGCCCGAGTCGTAATCCCCGGGGAAGCCCTGGAACATGGCCCCGGGGCCGCGGGGGCCGCCCCGCCGCCGCCGCCGCCACAAGGCTGCGGGGTCACGCCGCCGCCACCGGCATGGCGGGGGGCTCGGGGCTGGGCTCCGCCGCTCGGTGGTCGGGCTCCGCCACTCGGTGTGGGGCTCCGGTAAGGCGCGGTGGGGCTCCGGTTGGTCGGTGGGAGCGGCGGTGCGGTGTGGGAGCCGCCGGTGTGGCGGCGCCGCGTTCCGGTAAGGTCCCGGTGAGCGCTCGGCGGGTCCGGTGTATCCGTGCCGGGCTCCGGTGCGGTTCGCTTCGCCGCTACCGCGCTCCGGTTGTGCTCCCCAAGCTCCGGTGCATCCGTGCCGTGCTCCGGTTCTCCGTTCCGAAGCCGCGCTGAGCCCTTAAACCCCCCCGGTGCGTCCGTTCCAGCCTCCGGTTGATCGCTACCGAGTCCCGTGCCGCCGCTCCAAACTTCTCCGCTACCAATCCCCGCTTCTCCGGTAAATCCGAGCCGCGTTCCCCCCCCCGAAGCTCCGGTAAATCCCTCTCCGAGCTCCGGTAGCTCCGCCGCCGCCGCTCGCCCGGTGTCCGGTTTTATGAATGAACGGCTCGCGGCAGCCCCGCCGCTTTATACGGCGGGGGCCCCCCCCCCCGCTATACGGCGGGGCCACGCCCCCCTGCGCTGACGTCACGGCAGCCGCCGCCGCTGCCCCGGGACCCCCGGGAGCCCCCCGAGGCCTGGCGGAGCTCGGAGCCGCCGCGGCCGCGGTCGGTGTCGCCGTTTGAGGCTCCCGGAGCCGCCGCCGCCGTTAAGAGGCGCCGGGAGGAGGCGGGAACGGGGGGGATCCCCCCGGGCCACGCCCCCCCGGAGTTCCTGTGACGCAATTAGCCATATATGGGCTTGTCTGGAGTGTTTGTTTGGTATCCTAGCAATGACGTCACAGGGATTCCCTCCGCCGCCGCCGCCGCCGCCGCCGCCGCCGCCGCCGCCCGGGCGCGTATTAATAGAAACGGGAGCGGCCGCCGTTCTAGAAACGGCCCGAAGCGGCACCGGGACACCGGGAACGCCCCCGGGAGACCCCCCCGGGAGACCCCCGGGACCCCTCCCCAACACCGGGGATCACTGGGACCCCCGCCCGGTGAGCTCCCGGTGAGCTGCCGGGATTTCTGTCCGGGATCCCCCGGGGATCTCTCCGTGATGTCCCCGCTTCGGCCACCGGGACCCCCCCCCGGAGGACATTCCGGGGGGGTTGGGGACATTGGGAGGACTTGGGGACATCCCAGAGACATCCAGGGGGACACTGGGGCTTGGGGACATCAGGGCGACGTCTTGGGGGACTTGGCGACATCCCAGGGGGTTGGGGACATCCCTGGGGACATCCCGAGGGGTTGGGGACACCCCCAAGGGGACACCGGGGACACCGGGGACACCGACCTGGCTCGCAGGTGGCTCAGGTGGCTCCGGGCCAGGCTCAGGCACTGCTCGATCTGGGCCTGGGGACATCGGGGACGTTGGGGACATCGGGGACAGCCGGAGGTGTCACCACCCCCCCGGGTGTCCCAGGTGTCCCCGGGTGTCCCAGGTGTCCCCAGGTGTCCCCAGTGTCCCCAGGTGTCCCCAGGTGTCCCCGTACCTGGTGGCGCCGCTGCAGCACGGGGAAGGTGAAGGCGCCGATGACACCTGGGGGGGAGTGGCACTGCTGTCACCGAGTGTCACCTCGGTGTCACCTCAGGGTCACCTCAGGGTCACCGGGTGTCACCGAGTGTCCCCTCATGCTCTGCCCCGCCCCCTGTCCCCAGGCTGTCCCTCCCAGGGTGTCCCCGTGTCCCCCTGATGTCCCCGTGTCCCC